CTTCTTTTCTCCTCGTTTTCTGTTCAGCGAATGATATATTGACACATCAACGGGTGTTAACTAAGTGTGTCAATGTTGTGTGTCCAAATAACATTACTCTATAAAAAAACAGAACAAAAAAAACAAAGAACCTGGAAGAGGCTATTTTTGGGTGTCGTTTGTATGAAAGCTGGCGAAAGAGGAAAAATGCTGATAAGGTTAGAATGGGCCCGAGCTCAGATTAGCCACAAAGAGTGCCACTCTCTGGGCCCACTTCAAATTTGGATACATAAAAAACGAAAAATAAAAATCCCCCGTGAACTCTGGGCTCGCTCAATGTCTTTTTCTACAGGATTGTTACTTGTCAATAATAATGTTGTAAAGTCAAGAACGTGGAGCAGAAAAATTGATTGAACAAGAATAATGGTAAAGCTTGTCTGCCAACACCCACGTGAAGCCAAAGAAATATGAGTAAGCAGCCACTCAATTCTGCCTACAAATAATGCTTCCCCCTTCCTTCGACCGACACACCATCTGAGAAGAAATGAGAGCAGGTAGAGAGTAAAGAAAGGAAGGAAAGAAAGAGGGTGAATGAAGAAATGAGAGCAGGTAGAGAGTAAAGAAAGGAAAGAAAGAAAGAGGGTGAATGAATGGAGAGAAAATGAGAGTAGAGAGATATTCTACAAGAGAGAAGCCAGATATATTTTAAACACTAAAATTGTAGCCTTATTCTTTTACATAGTGGAAAAGTTACTGCTGTTGCTCTTCGAGAACATAGACAAGGTCGAACCTCATTAAATATTGTGTCTCATTTACTTTACACGCAGCTCAATATTCTAACATATCCCGTTCATTTTGCAACAACTAACAATTTTTTTTATATTTTTAACGGAGCTCCACAAAGAACAAATTTTGAAGGTGATTGTCATGGTAATTACTTGATGTTAGAGAACCTCTATGTCCAGGGGAACTATGAGTTCAAGGAAGCTTCGAGTTATACTCATATGACCCTACTTCTTGTTCTTTATGCATAAACATATTCAAGTTCCATGTTCAAGACTTGACATCTAATCATTCTAGTGATAATCTATTAAAAAAACAAATTAAAAAAAAAACTACGTAACTGGGACTTGATGCAATAAGAACTTTAGCATTAGCTTCAAGTATGTAGGAAAAGTAGCAAATAATTTCAATTGTAAATTTAATGTGGAAGCGTAGGAACGAGTACAAACATTTGGAAGTAAACACGTTAGCATAATAATGTTGGTGTAACAACAATTAGAAGGGTTGCAATTATATAGGCTTGCTAGAAAATTCTAACATCTGTTATAATGGATAAAAATGATTGCATAGGTCAGTTGACAAGAACAGTGTGTACCCTCGTTATACTCAAGTTTGAATCTTCCTCTAGTTTTATTACTTGTAAAAATAAATAAATAAACAAACAAACAAAATGGTTTGTCTAAAATAACTGGTCTCACCAAAATTAAAGCAATTACATTACAACATCTTCTGCCGTGGAAAAAACACACAAAACATAAAAGAAAAATAACAAAAAGAGAGAGATAACAAATTATACTGGTAAGAGACTACCTCCTGTTGCTCTTGTTGGAGGGAAAAAAGCAATGAGGAGCATATTACAGTAGAAGAAGAGTCAGCATCAACTTCACAGCTAACAATTCCCGAGCTGTAAAGTAAGCTCAAGGAATTTGGGAGAGTTCATTCTGCTGGCCATCACCAAAACCAGCATATCAATGTATTTTGAATCTTTAATCGCTTTCCACTTGTTGGACTGAACACACTCAAATTGCCTATAAAAAATTGCTTGTCATTGAAGACTTCCCCAATATATTTAGAGCCATCATCCTTTGGATCTCTTTTGCTGCATGATCATTGAGCACTAGAGTTAAATAAATCAATGACACAGCCATAAAATGAACACAGGGTTTGTGAAAAAGGTGATATTTTCAATGATTATATTAATAAATATTTATTCTTTGAGTAGTTAGATTTTTGCATAAGGCTTACCTTCCTCAACTGATAGCTGCATTGATCTTTTCTCTAGCTCAACGGCATGTCTGCTAAGCTCAGATGGCGATAAATGACGAAGCGCTGATAACATGATGAACAAAGAGCATTTTCAGTGCTGACAAAATTAAGGGCAGAAAAATTGGTATGAAAATTTTTAAATTGAAACAGCAATGCCATAATACAATGACCTACTCTGGATGTATTCTCTCTGATCAGAATCATCAAATTGCTTCAAGAGGTTCTGCAAATGTAGAAACCCTTCTGTCCTTTGCTCATCATGGTTCTTCTCAGAACCAACCAAGTGAGGAACCAGAGATTCAGGAGTGAATCTAAGGTGCCTGGAATGAGCAGCTGGCAATCCATTACTGGCCTTTCCAAGAAACATTGGAACAGGTGGTTTACCAGGTGAAAATTTAACCGGAGAAGCCAAGGGCATTGGTGCGAACGCAGATGTCTCATGTTCCTGCTTCTTAGTTCTGTCTTTAGGTAGGTCTTGCTGCTTTTGTGAACAATATCGTTTGAAATTGAGAGAGTAAGTATTTTGTTCTGTCACACCTTGAACTCTTCGCTTGCCTAGTGCTGAATCTAACTTCCTTGCACCACCACCATGCATGAGCTGATCACTTGCACTGCTGATGCTCGTGAATTGGTGACAAGAGGAGCTCCGTGGCAACTCAGGGTTGAGTATCTTAGTTCCCAAAACCTTAATGGGATCCACGACTGGTCGTCCTAGAAAAACATTCTCAGGATAATTCGGCATAAAGCTCCTATTATCATTCTGTACATCTCTCAATGCTATCTTTTTCATCGGTAGTGTTGACTGCTTATGGCACACAGTTGAACCAACCACACTGTTTCCCAGTGCATTGTTGTTGAGGTTAGAGCTCACCATTTGAAGGGCTAGAACAACTAACTTGGCTAAGAGGATCCTAAGGTCCTGGCTGCATTGGCATTAGCAGAAAAAAAAGATAAAATCAATAAAGATATCCTTGAGCGAAAACAACAGCCCCAATATAACTATCATGCTAAAACACATTTAGCTTAAACAAATAGCGGATACAACAAACATTTTCTTCCTGCTGCCCTACTTGAATGAAAAGAATCACACAACTTGAGGTGATTTAACTTTTTACAGGAGGGAAGCCACAATCTATGTCGAAAATGTAGTCATTATAACATGGAGTCACCATAAATGGCATGTTATCATAGGGAGATAAAGTTTAATTACTCAAGAAAATAGGAGCACTAGTCATTATAACATGGAGTCACCATAAATGGCATGTTATCATAGGGAGATAAAGTTTAATTACTCAAGAAAATAGGAGCACTTTGCCAGTTTCTGAAAATGGCCTCCATCCTGAAAGCAATCTCAAATTTTAAAGAACCACCTAGAGAGTGTTTAAAGCTGGTCACTTTATCAAATCACATAGTAGGGAAATATTTCAACCATCCAATCTCAACAATTGGTAACAAGAAAAACAAATTTGACGAGCCAGTGAGTCCAATTTCAACAACATATAAACATCGCCCGCCTTTTTCAAAACCCATTTGCAAAAAATAATTAGAAAAAGAAGAAACTTAATCAACTCTGCTCTAAACTGAGAGTATCAGTACAAATCTATGGTGGGTACTCATCAACTGTTTTGCAGACAAAAGTTGCAGTCTAAATGGAGCTGCTACTATTCATAAACCCTATAAAGAAGAACTTCCAGAGCCAAAGGAAATTAAATTGAACAAGATTCAATTATATAATAAATATTTGTGCGTGCGTGCGTGTGAGAGAGAGAGAGAGGGGGG